CCCAAAGCACAGAAAATTATTGAGCATCTCCTTTCAAGGGATGCAGTACCAGTACAACAGGCTGCCATTCCGTTATTCCCTCGCGACTCGTATGTTCTCAAAGTTTGTGGCGACGGCCCTGCAACCATTACAAAGATCAGGGATAAGAATTTTGTTTTACCTAGACGACCTGTTGCTGCTGTCACGCTCCAGACAGGAAGCAGCGGCGCAAACTCAGGTGCTGACGTCACACCTGCTAAATGTGGGCTTTGCCATAAATTGGGGAAAAAAGCTTGATTCTCCCGGCCCAGACGATTGTTTATCTGGTAGTGGAGCTAAACTCGATCACCATGAGGGCTCATTTATCACAGACGAGAATCGACACTCTAAAAGACCAGCTTCGCCACATAAGACCTGGCAGAGTGGTAACAGCCATTTCTGTCATGAAGCTGTTAGGAACGATGTCGTCAGCTCACACAGTGGTTCTGCTGGGCTTACACCACATGCAACCCCTCCAGAGATGGTTTTGTTCGTCTGCGCGTGGATCCGGTAAGCAAAAGAGACGGATGATCACTGTTCCTCCCTCCATGAGAACAGACCTCCGACACTGGGAAAACTCCCTGGTTCTGTCGGAAGGAGTCCCTGTCAGCAGACCTACGTCACACGTGTCAGTCTTCACGGACGCATCACTGTCGGGTTGAAGGGGGACGTGCCTATCCCAAGCTGTAAGGGCGCTGTGGCCACCTAACACAACAGCACATACAAACGTTCTGGAATGCCACACGGTTCTGAATGTGATTCAACACTTTGCTCCTGTGCTACAGAATCAACACGTTTTGATTCACACAAACAACAAGGTTACTGCTGATTACATAAACCGGCAGAGGGGGTGTGTGCGCTCAGCCCAAATGTTACACATTGCGAGAAAATTACTGTGTTGGGCACACCAAAATCTACTCTCCATCAGAGCAGTGTACATCCCCCGTGTTCTGAACAAAGGGGCAGATGTGATGTCCAGGGGCGGTCCACGTCAAGGGGACTGGACCCTCCACCCAGACCTGATGGCTCAGACGTGGCAGAAATTTGGCAAAGTGGCTGTGGACCTGTTTGCGACACGAGAAAACACTCCGTGTCAACTATGGTTCTCACTGAGCCCGCGAGACCAACCACCGCTAGGGGTGGACGCGTTTGCTCACAGCCCATGACACAAAACGCTTATTTACGCGTTCCCCCCACCTCCTCTGATATTATGGTTTCTTAACCGAGTTCAGGTGGAGGGATTGACAGCTCTCCTGGTGGCTCCCGAGCACGTGAACGCGCCATGGTTCCCAGTTCTAAGAAGTCTGTTATCGGGGCGCCCGTGGAAACTGCCGTGGAGGGAGGATGCTCTCCTCCAGGTTGGAGGAGCGGTCAGGAGTTACCCAGAAATAGGCCAGCACCTTTGGGTCTGGCCGCTGAGCGGATCCGCTTAGAGAGGATGGGTCTCCCTCAAGATGTAGTGTGTACAATCCAGGATTCACGTGTTGCATCTACCACAGCGCTGTACACATCAAAGTGGACAGCTTTTCAGTGCAGGTGTACAGAGAAAGGTGTAGAGGCCACTTCATGTCCACTAGGTGGCGTACTGTCCTTTCTGCAGCAGCTGATGGACAGAAATCTGGCGTTCAGCACGATTAAAACGTATGTTGCAGCCATATCTTCCTGTCACGAAGGTTTCGGGTACAGAACAGCTTTTAATCATCCGCTGATGAAGCGTTTTTTAAAAGGTGTACAGAGACACAGGCCTGTTTCACGCCCACTTGCTCCACAGTGGGATTTAACGCTGGTCCTGCGAGCCCAGATCAAAGCTCCATTTGAGCCTCTGGATCAGGTTCCAATTAAATTCTTGTCTCTTAAAACAGCCCTGCTGCTGGCTTTAACATCCGCTAAGAGAGTGAGTGATTTATCTGCCCTCTCTGTCGCTCCGTCATGTCTCAGAATTCAGGCTGATGACAGCTCAGCTGATCTGAGACCTAATCCAGCTTTTATTCATAAAACATCACAAGCTCTTTTAAATCGAGAGCAATATTTTTGGAGGGTTTTTTCCCTCCCCCCACAAATCAGAAGAAGAAGCATCTTTCCATCTGCTCTGTCCTGTGCGAGCGTTGATGTGTTACATAGCACGCACAGCTCCAATGCGTCAACATCTGTTTGTGCATTATAGAGATGCATCTGCAGGTCGCCCGTTATCCACCCAGCGCTTGTCACACTGGCTGTGTGAGGCAATTTCTGAAGCCTACAGAGCATCAGATTTAGAGCCTCCTGTCAACCTCAGAGCACACTCGACCAGGGGTATTGCATCTTCGACTTCTTTGCATAATGGTATGACAAAGCAGGATATTTGCACTGCGGCTGCGTGGTCAACACCCTGCTCATTTATTCACTTTTATCTACGTGATGTGACGGCTCGTTCCATGACACATTCTGTTCTTAGTGTTAACAGAATGAATATTGTTGTTTCATGGAACTCCGTTTTACTCACATCTGACTGCATGCATTTACAGTGTGAGATGTTATCAGTCACAGATTATGACTGTTGTTCTGGTTCTATTGCCACTAATCAGTTCATGACTATTGTTACCAATCAGTTCATTTGATTAATAATCAGTTCACTTGTTATTATTAATCTGTTCATATTGATCAGCCGTGAATAAGTTGATTCATGGCCCTTTTTCAGCATCTTCCTTCCCTGTTGAAAGCTTTCTGGGGCGTTCATGCACTCAGAACGCATAACTACACTGCATGCGTCTGTGCATGGTACGCATAATTACGCAACGCGTAATTACGCACATGGAGAGCTGAGCAACAAGACGTTTTTGGGCAAGCTGTCGCTTCGTATGGTGTTCGAATGCACCCAGTGAGGCGGAGAATACATCTTGCTTCGCCTTTAACCCACCAGCAAGGGCCTTAAAGGGCGAAGCCTATACGAAATAGAACGTTGGTTACGTACTGTAACCCCAGATTCTATGAGTATAAGCGTAGCCCTTTAAGCGTCGGGCCTCACTGGTTCCTAATTGGCTGAAGAAAAAGCTATTTGGGAGCCGATTACCCGCTCAACGTAATTTATACGGACCGGGTGGGGCCCACACAACAGGTGGGCGTGGACTAAACTTTTCAGTGCGATGCTTTGCATGATGGGATCAAACCCACTAGCGAGGGCCTTAAAGGGCTACGCCTATACTCATAGAATCTGGGGTTACAGTACGTAACCAACAATTTCACAGCTTGATACCATACCATACCACTTTATTTATAAAGCACTTAAAACAGCTACAAGGCCAACCAAAGTGCTGTACAGACAAAACAACAGGTAACACACAAAGCAAAATACAAAATGAGGTAAATCAGAATATAGACAAAAAACCATGCAGATAATGACGACAAACTTGCAGCCAAGATATAGTTTACCCTCCAGGAGATATTTATCAGTACAACAGTAGACAATCATAAAAAATAAAAATAAAAAACATTTATCCATCCATCCATTATCTTTACCCGCTTCTTCCATTTTGGGTCACGGGGGTCGCCGGTGCCCATGTCCAGCAATCACTGTGCGAGGGGCGGGGTACACCCTGGACAGGTCTCCAGTCCATCACTGGGACACATAAGCTATGTTTACATGCGCAGAATTCTCTGACCGGATTGAAATGTGTTGTTTGAATAATTCAAATGTATTGTTTACATGGGCACAATCTGTTCATGACGAGCGTTTACATGCAGCGGGCTTTGTTCTGAACAGCAGTACTGACATGCACAGAGTGGTAAACTCTCATAAAAAAAATACTGAAGAAGTTCTACATCCAGGGTGAACGTAAACAAACCTGAGCACCCAAAATGGACCCGCGACAGGTTTTAATGATGGTGGAGACGTTACTGCACTCCCTGACTGAGCTACAGGTCATAGAAATCATTTTGAGCTCTTTCAAAGTTTCTAGTAGAAATGTTGTCGCTCACCGACCAGTTTTACTTCCCTGACATGCTAATATTATTAGCATTAGCCAGGCGGAAATGGCAAAGTCGCACATGCGCAGTCAGGTCAGTTTTTCACCATCAGATAAAAACGAACAGATCAAGCGTTTACATGCGCACCGATCGGGTTTCGGATCGGCGTAAACCACCCGTTTCGTTCTGATCACAAATTATATCGGATCGCGCCGAATACACAAAAAATAACCCGAACGGAGCGTTAACATGACACACTTTTATTCTGACCGGCCATTTGATCCGGTTACTTATGTCCACGTAAACATACCCATTGAGACAAACGAGACAAACAACCATTCACTCTCTCACTCACCTAGGGACAATTTAGAGTTACCAATCAGCCTAACATGCATGTTTTTGGTCTGTGGGAGGAAACCGGAGTACCCGGAGAAAACCCACGCATGCACGGAGAGAACATGCAAACTCCACCCAGAGAGGCCCCTGGACCGGGATTTGAACCAAGGACCTGCTCACTGAGAGGCAGCAGCTCTACCAGCTGCGCCACCGTGCTGCCGTGTTTGAAGCTATTTAACATTTTATTTAATTCAATTCATTCATTTAAAAGAAAAAATAAATTAAAATAAAGCATCAAAAAGAAAACATTGAATGAAAAGAGTGCAGAAAGAAGAAAAAATATTATTACATCTCCCCTTTATTTAAAAAAAAAAAAACTTTAAACAAACAATCACTTAAATTAAATCACTTTAATATCCACTTTAAAACTAGGAATAAAAAACATGTTTTGTGTTAGCAGAATTTAATTCTAACTTTTAAACTTATCTAATATTAATAAAACTTACCTCAAGTTGCCTTTTTGGACATGCATGCATATATTTGTACAAATTGTACTTGAGAGCAGATTATTACAGCCTCATATAAAATCAATGATGATCAGGATATCGGAACTGGATCGGTATCGGCTGATATCCAGATTTAGGGATCGGAAGTTTAACAAAGTGGATCGGTGCGTCCCTGATTATGACCTCGCTAACACTCACCTTCTCTCCTTTTCGAACATCCCAGATAAAGACATGTTCACACGCAGCCACGGCCACGTAGCGCCCCTTCTCCCCTCCTCGAAGAGTCACGTACGTGATGTTGGCCCTTTGGCTGCCGATGACTCCGAACACGGCGCTGGCAGCATATCGCAAGTACTGTTTGGTCAGACCCATGACCAGCACTCAGTCGCTCTGTGAACTGGGAGACAGAATTACTTGACAAAATGTGCCACACATTTCACTGACTTGTACACCACTTTTATTACAGAATATATTGAGGGTTGGCTTTTATATACTGTTCTATACCACTTCTTTAAATATGTCTCAAAAAGGAATTCTACATAAATGAGGTAAAGGTAAATGATTTTAAAACTATTTTACTTTTAAAGTTTTAAACTTAACTTAAACATTGAGGCTACAGTACTTACAAATGAAAGATTTGTAAATGTTTATTCTTAATTCTATAAGTATTCTTATCAGCTTAATAGGAAAATAAATGTAACTTCATTTAAGCAATCTAAATAGACTAACATGAAGTAAAACATCTATAATGTACAAATCTGATAAAAAAAAACATCAATCATCGTGCACAGTTACTAGTGCTAAAATGCGGTCGCACACCTTTTCGTAATAAATGTATTAATATTATTTCAAATTAAACGTTAACCCTGCCCATGAGTGTTTTCATTCATTAAAAGTTACACATTACTGAACATTTCTCTGCTAAATCGTTACAAGTTCCGTCATCTGACGATCGTTTTATGAACCCGAACAGTCCGCGTGGTTAGGAGTTAAGGCCTGGCTACACTTATTAAAACGCTACACGCCTTAAGCTCCGCCCGCTCAGACGCAGCAGTTTTTCAAAATTAACGCAACTATCAATTCTTCTCGGCCCACGTGGTAATATACTGGTTTAAATAAACCTTGTGAAAATAGGCTGAACGTATATTTATGTTTGTAAACGTCATACATATGGACAACGATGCATGTCGCTCGTGTTAGCAACAACAAAACAACTCGTTGGTCTTCTTACCTCTAAAAAATACGGCGCAGCCTGCTCACATGCGTCCTCCTTGCAAAATCGTTGAAGATTCAGACCAAAAAAGTCAATCACCGACGATTTTCAAACTATGCGTTGTTAATCTGCTTTTTTAATGTCTGTAACAATAACAATTAATAAAAACCCAGTTTATGCTGTATTTTTACAAAAAAATACAACAAACTTTAATTTGTTTGTGTGTTCTTTCTTTGAGGCTTGTTAATGGCTCTCCATCTACTGCTTTTGTCTGATACACACACGCACACACACACAAAAAAAAAAAAAAACCCTAAACTACATCTGTTTTGAGAAATGCGTTTTTAAATAGTTCTCGTACTAAAACATATGTTTTGGTCATTTTTAGTGGTCAACGATGTTTGTGGTTTACGCAAATGGAAACTTTCTGCAGATTGCTGGCCCAAACAAAGTCAGCGGAAGTGTTTTATTTTCTTGCTAGTCAGCTGATTAGCATCTGACGAAATACGGATGACAAATCACGTGACCTAGACCGGAAGTATAAGTGTGACCCTGACAAAGTAAAAGCGATAAATTCATTCAACCTTTATTTCTACAGGTTCATCCCACTGAGCCTCGGGGACTCATTTACAAGAGAGACCTGATTTTAACAAGTGATGACAACAACAGACAGTCATAAAAGAGACATACAGATTTAAATTTCTTTTTTTTTTTTATTTATTTATTTTTTTTTTACAAATCAAAGCAAAATAGCAACCAAAAGGACAGTTGAAAGGAAAAGTAGTGAAAACAAACATTTAGATTATAAAGCGATACAGAAAAGTAAAAACAGGAACATGTCTGCGTTGGTTCTTGCAGGAACT